GGCTGCAGCCACACGTCGATGGCTCTACCCGTGTAGCTGCTGCTGCAGCTATTGCAGGTGCAGCAGCAGCAGCAGCTGCTGCTGCTGCAGCAGGCGCTGCAGCTGCTGCGGCAGCCCCGGATCTATATGTACACCTCTGTGTTAGCTTTGCCACAGAGGAGACAGCGGGGGGTGCTGCAGAGCAGCAGAAAGAAGAGGGAGGCCCCGGGGCCCCCAAAAGGATGAAGGGTTGTGGAGGCCCCTACGACCGCGGCGCTAGTTAAGCCCGTCTGCTGCATGCGTTTGTTGCATTTGTTTGTATTATTAATTGCAGCAAATAGGAGAAAAGGAATAAAATATAAAAGGGGGGAAATAAAGAAAAAGGAAAAAAAATAAATACATCTGTACACCCCAACCACATATGACGCCGGCAAGCCATTGGTCCTTATACACCACTAGGCTGCGGGCGGCGAGGGGAGAGCAGCAACTAATAGAGTCTAATTGAGGCAATATAAATTAAAAAATATTAAATAAATTTATTTTTTCTTCATTTTAAGGGGTTAAACCCCTATATTAATTGCTAGTTTAGATATACTGCGCATACACCCCGCTACGGACCACTGGCGACACCACGGGGTGTACGTACACCCCAGGAGAACTCACCGTCGTCAAGCGAGGAAAAAAAAAACAAAAATGTATAAATAGAATAAAATTAAATATTTTAATTTATTCTATTTTATATTTTGCAACAAACAACAAAAAATATCGTCGGCTCCCCCTCACAGCCTCTCGATTCTCCTGCCTTTTGTAGCTGCGCATACACCCCAGCTATGCATACACCCCAGTTGTGCATACACCCCAACTATGCATACACCCCAGCTATGCATACACCTCAGCAACACATACACCCCAACTCTGCGTATACACCCCGACTCTAGCAGTACACACAACTCAGCTCTACATACACCGCAACTGTAGATACACCCCAGCTGTACGTACACCCCAGCTGCACATACACCGCAAATAATATTAAATTATAACTTGGCTCCCCCCATGCCCGCATCGGCCCAATAAGCATATACAGAGACACCTGAGATGCAGCAGCAATAGATACACCCCAGTCGCTACAGCCACACAAAAATATAAACAAATACAATAAATAAACATAAATAGAATGAATATATATAAATACAATTACTTTATTTACTTTTATTTACTGTATCTACATAAATACAATAAATACACGTAAAAACAATGAATATACACATATATATATATATATATATATATATATATATATATATATATATATATATATATATATATAT